ATTATGATGTGGCTATCTCCCCTAGGGGGGTAATTTCTCACTCTCCCTCTGTCTCTGTGTGTCTGTCGGTCTCTTTTCTGGTGAGTGCACACATCTTATGGCAAAAACCTAAAAAAGGAAAAAAACAAAACAAAACAAAATCACACTTAGAAGAGCAAAAGTAAAAAAATTGAGAAAAAAAAAGAGAAAAATTAGTGCTAATGACTATTTCACAAATAATACATGTACAAAAAATTGTTTTCCAAAGAAATTAACTGGTATTTTACAGGGATACTTCACTCCTTGGACAGAAACTTGGGCAGTTCTAAAATTATATTCCATGAAAATCAACTATGTAGTTACATAAATCTTTCTAAAATTTAGCAGCCTTAGGCTTAGACAAAATTATTGGATTGTCAAGAAAGTCATGATGCATTTTTGTATTAAAAAACAGAAAAATACCTCATGACTTCCCCAACGAACTAATAGAAACTTACCTCATATGATTAAAAGTTGTCTTAGAGGAGCCAGCAGGTAGCATGGCGGTTAAGGGGCTGGACTCCCACATGGCTGACTGTGGTTTGAGTCCTGGACCTGGCAGCTTGCTTTCTCATTCCCCCTGCTCCCAGAACCCCCCTCCCCCCCGCCTCTCACTCTCTCCCTCTGTCCCTCTCTGGTCAAATTTAAATAAATAAAGTTAAATAAAATAATCCTTAAAAAAAAAAGTTGTCTTAGAAATATGCAGGATATAGGACAGCCCTGTCACCTAGTGATTAGGGAGCTGGATCCAAACAATCACAGTTCAAATCCTACCCCTAGTGGCTTGACAAATAAAAAAGGAACGAGTGCATGTGGGTCCAAGATAGAAAAATGAAAAGAGATTGTGGTGTGATCATGTCCAATTGAAAAGAACTTGCTCTCTCTTATCTCTCATTCTCTCTGGTGAATGTATATGCCTTCTGATAATTAAAAAAAAAAAAAAAACAGATAGAAAGAAATGTGTAATATAAAGACTAAACAAACTTCTTAGTCAAGTGGTTAATTTCTTAAACAAGTATTTTGCAAGGACCAGCAGGTGGCATAATGGTTATGTCACTGGACTCCCACGTAGTCTACTGCAGTTGGAGTCCAAGACCTGGTGACTTAGAACTCACACTGTCATATACCTGCATGCCCAAGATCCAGAGAAGAAAATGGAGAAAAAGGGATTGTGGCGTGGCCATCCTCCTTGGGCGGTGATTTCTTGCTTTCTGTCTCTCTGTCTCTGTCTCTCCAGCGAGCACATGTGTCCTCTAGCAAAAATGTCTCTAAAAAGACATAACCAAAAAAACCTCTCATTTGATTTATTTATAAGTGAATAACATTTCTATATATAGAAATACTTGTCATTAGAGACAAAGATTAAACCTAGAAAATCTAAATTTGTACCAAAAAGAAACAAAAAATTAAAAGTCAAGGCTCATCTCCTGCTCAAAAACTAGCCTTTGGCCATTCTCTACCTTTTGCTGTCAAGTAATCTCAAAGGCAAGTTTTATATCTATTCAGCTATATCTTTAAAACAAATAAACAAAGATATATCTTCAGAGTTTTCTTTTAGAATCCTTTTTAGAACCCTTCAGAGTTGAAAGTGGCCAGGGAAAAGAAGAGCTAATCACAAAAGACCAGCAAAAGGTTCTGATCCCTGTGAGCTCTAACTCCCCCTCACTTTCCAGGTGTTAGTCAAAAACATCTCTCTGCTGTTTACTTTGCTGTTGTAAATGGGCCAGATTTGTTACCGCACATTTTAGGTGTTTTTCAACAAAGACCACGGAAGAAGATACTTCTGCTGACCTATGCTTGCCATCCCTATCACGGCATAGTAAAATGCCTAATTTAAAACTTTAAATGTCTTCCCCAGTAGTAATTAAGTCTTATAATAAAACATTGATTAAACTAGAATGCTATAGAAATGAGGTAATCTTTTTTTTTTTTTTTAATTTTCCCTATTACATTAGAATTCCTTTGGTTAAAACTGAAATGTACTGGAATATTTTATTTCTTCTTTTCTTTTTTGTTTCTTACTATAGGGTGCTTGCACTAACCAGAGAGAGACAGAGAGAGGAAAAGTGATAATTACCCTCCGGGGTAGGGATTTGGGGCACACACGCATACATGCCCAATGTGATTTTTTTCAAGTGGCTGAGTTGAGCACTTGAACCACAGAGTGGGCCATGTGGGATCCAGAGTCTTAATCTATATGCTATCTATAGGTTCAGAAATTTTGTTGAACACAATGAACAGAAAGTCTTCTAGTATCTCAGTCTGAGAATGCTGAACATCAATTATGAGACATTTACTATATGAAAATATATAATACTGTAGCTATAAAAGAGATCAGAAACTAAGACAACTATATCCATTTATCATTTACCCTGGAAACTGTGTTTAAAAAAATACCTTCTCTGAAACCAGCAGATGGCGTAAGTGTAACATCGCTGGCCTCTCACATAGTTGATTGCTGTTCAAGTCCCAGACCCGGTGGCTTAAACTCACACCAGGTTCATATGCGTGTGTGCCCAAAATCCGGACAGGAGAATGGAGAAGAAGGAATTGCAATGAAGCCATCCCTCCCTGGGGAATGATTTCCAGCTTTCTGTTTCTCTCTGTCTTTCCTGTGAATGCACATGCCCTACAGCAAAAACCTCTGTCTCTCTTTCTTTTTCTTTATTTGTTTATTTTAATTTGACCAGAGTGCGAGCAACACACAGAGATAGAGAGAGATAGAGAGAGAGAGAGAAAGTGAGAAAGCAAGCCGCCAGGACCAGGACTCGAACTGCAATGACCAGCAAAAACCTCTCTTAACAAAAAAAAAAAAAAAAAAAAGAAAAAGAAATACCTTATCCCAGGGCCAGCAGATGGCGTGGTGGTTAAGGTGCTGGACTCCCAGACGGAGTGGCTTGCTTTCTGATATCTCTCTCTCTCTCAATCTCTCTCTGGTAAGCACACATGCCCTATAGCAAATTAAAAAATAATAATAAATAAAATAAGATAAATTCTATACAAACACACACACGCATATATATTTTAAAAGGAAATACTTTTATTTGGGTCAATGAGTGGCAGCTCCCACATGGCTAATTGCCTTTGGAGTACCAACCCAGCAGTTTGAAAAACATACTAGGTATGTGTGTGCATGTATACTCAAAATTCTAAGAGGAGAATGGAGGGAAAGGAATTGTGATGTGGCCATCTCCCCTACAGGGTGTTTTTTCCACCCTGTCTCTGCAAACCACCCTGAACTCAACAAATTGTAAAATAAAAAGATGCATGGGCTAGCAGGCGACACAGTGATTAAGGGGTTGGATTCCCACATGGCTGACTGTGGTTCAATTCCCAGACCCAACCACTTGAAAATCATGCTGGGCACACATGTATATGCCCAAAATTCTAAGAGAAGAATGAAGAAGAACGGATTGCAGCATGGCTATCCTCTTTGGGGAGTGATTTCTTACTTTCCCTTCAACTATCTATCTAGAAAGTGCACATTCTCTATGGCAAAAATCTAAAATAAATAAAATAAATACTTATAAAAGACTAGGAAAGAAATACCTTATCAATTCCTCTTCCCACAATTTGGGCCGTCTCTCATTTTATTTTTTTTTGAGAGGTTTTTTTTTTTTTTGCTATAGGGCGCGTGCGCTCGCCAGACAGACAGAGAGAGACAGAGACAGAAAGCGACAGAGAGACAGAAAGCGAGAAATCATCCCCCAGGAGGGATGGCCACACTGCAATCCCTTCTCCTCCATTCTCCTCTCGGGATCTTGGGCACGCACGCACACGCACCTGGCGTGAGTTTTAAGCCACCAGGTCCAGGATGCGAACTGCGGTCGACTGTGTGCGAGTCCAGCAACATAGCCATTATGCTAACAGCTGGTCCCTGTCTCTCATTTTTTAATTTGCAATAGGCTGCATATGCTAACCAGAGAAAGTGAGAATGCACCTTCCGGGGGGATGCTTATGCTGCATCCTTTTTCCTCCATTCTCTTCTTGGGATTTAGGGCATAAACATACATGCACATAGTGTATTTTTCAAGCCAGTAGGCCTGGGACTTGAACTGTGCAGATAGCCATGTGGGGTCCAGCCATCTTAACTGTTGCTACAGACTGGTCCAAATTTATGCTCTCTTTAAAATATAAAAAGGCTTAAAGAAAAAAATTCTAGTTAAGAAAGAATTCATATTAGATAGTTTTTAGTATAATTTTAATGAATTTTTCTGGTTCACTCCAGGTAACTTTAATATTTAAACTAATAATATACCTGAATCTTCAATCATATTCATTTTCTTATCTTATATAAATTACCCACAAAATATTCCAAAACAAAAAGAATTCATACGTGTACATGTCCTACTTTAATGTGAAAAAAACATGGAGATGCTTATGAGGTATTTTTTGTTGGTATTTTCCTTGTGAGGGTAAGGGAAAAAGCAGTTTTAAATAGTCAATAAGGTGGGCTGGCAGGTGGAGTAGCTATTAAGGTGCCAGACTCCCACATGGCCAGCCACGGTTCAAGGCCTGGACTTGGCGGCTTTGGTATAGGTTCGAGGCCCAGACCTGGTGGCTTGCTGGGCGGCTTTCTCTCTCTCTCTACCTCTCTCTCTCTCTCTCTCTCTCTCTCTCTCTGTTGCTCTGTGGTCAAACTCAAAAAATAATAATGATAATGAATAAAATTAAAACAATTCTTTTAAAAACTAGTCAATAAGGCAAGGAACACAAGATTAAGTCATAAAAGATGGACATGTTGGAGTGACATGGCAACACATGCTCTGTGAAGCAATTCGACATGGGAAGGTTCACAGTCCAAGTCTGAGCTCGTTGTGTACCCTGAGCAAGAGGACACCCGAGCCAGTCTGGTTAGGAAGGGGGTGACCACAGTGTCAGGATCCTGTTGGGGGTCTCTTTCTCTCTCACTAACTGAAGAAATAAATAAACATTTAAAAAAATCCTGTATGTAAATAAAAAGCACATGTATGCTTTCTTACTTTTGGTAGGACTCTTGTAGGAGGCTTCTGTTGTCCCTCTGTCGTGCATTTTTCTGTTTTTGGTGACAAAGAAGAACATATTTCAAAGTCTGTGTGTCCTAGATCCTGCAAGTACTGGTAAAGTGGAGAATTCTGAAAGAAACATACACATAAAGTAAAGCAAATTTCAAGATCATCACTATCTCAAAGGTCTTAGAAGCTAAATTCAATGCCAGACTTGACTATTACAATGAGTAAGCCCAAAGTCTTTAAGGCTTCTTCTATGAGAAGTGAATTATCCATTATAATATAATATGATTTAACATTAATAAATCAACAAACAATTCAACACAGGGACCAAAAAAAGGAAAATCTCTAAATAAAACACACAGACTTTTTGAACAAGTACTAGCAAGAAAAAAAGGAATTGAGGAATATAAATAGGTTTGTTAAGCAATTTCTTTGCCTAAACTTTTACAGTCTTATAGTACACTGCTCCAAAAATAGCTAATATTGACTATAAATAGCTCCTAAGAGGAACTACAGTGAAAAATGGGTACTACCTGAATCAAGAAGAATTAAACCATGAGTACACTTTTTTTTTTTTTCACATCTCCAACAGATTTATTTTTTAAAGGAAGGGTTTTGAGAGGAAAATAAAACCATGGGCAGAGAAGTATGGAATAGAAAATAAATACAAATGTAAGCTGTTTTGCTAATTGTTTTATAACCAGTATTATCATTTAATCATACCATCATATTTATTAATTCACTCAAGTACAAAGATGTATACCCGGCATTGTAAACAATGTTAAAACTCTTGAAGAAACTTGCCTTAGATAAGCTATTACTCACATTAAGAGCATATGGTAAATGAAACAGTATGGTTAACCAAAAGCATTAGAACCCAGTGGTTAAGAACACAAACTCTGGAGGTTATTCATGGGTTCAAATCCCAACTCTACCTCTTACTAGCTAAGTAACCCAAGGCACTTTATATTTTTCTGCACATCAAATGTGTCAGTTAAAAACAGGAATAATAATTAGAGTTAGTTCCTAAGATCCTTATGAGAGCTAAGTTAATATAAAGGACTTTAGAACAGTCCCTGGCACACAGTTCACACTCAATTTAAATTTTATTATATAAGTTAACCGGCAAGAGAACATGTTGTGAAAGAAACTTAAAAAAGCAAAAGCAAAAGAAAAAAATCTCCCAACCCTGACAAACAGAAATATCGTCACCACAGGAAAAGATTGTGCTGGACAACTCTTTCTGGATAAACAGAAAGCTTTAGTTTTAACTTCCCTAAAGCACAAAGTTGGAGACATGTGTAAAGATAAACCTTAATTTCATACAATGAAATATTTAAATCTTCAGACTACATTATGTGCTAGAGCTATACCAACATGTGGTAGTTGGCCATGTGGGAGTCCAGTGGCTTCACCACTACGCCACCTGCTGGCCCCCAAATCTTAACTATTTTATTTATACCATTTTAGTTGAGGTCCACAACAAAATTCTAGAAAGTATTATCATTGTCATTATTATTATTCCCATTAACTAGATGAAGAAAAAGATTCATTCAGCTAGAGAAAGCAGGAAAGGCAGGACTGACTCTAAGTCTGACTCCAAAGCCAACACTCTGAAATATACTTGACCTAAAAGAAGATAGTCCTCATTTGTCTATCCATGAAGACACCAAAGATGCTTACACATAGCTCAGCACAGGGTTGGTAAACCAACAATTACAGGAATGCATTGGATGCCATGAAACCAGAGAAGAGGCAGTTAAATTAGACTAAGACTGATAAGGAAGATATTCCCAGTTGGAAAGAATGAGGAAGAGTGGAAATTTACTAGACTGGTAGCAGTTTGCTGGGTATCAACCTGACAGAACAGGAATATGGGTCAAATGTCTTCCTTTTAAGCTATGTTTAATTTCTCTCCTTTTTTTTTTTTGTAGTGTTTGCTACAGAACACATACACTGGCTGGAGAAAGGAGAACAAGATAGAGAGAAGGAAGTGAGAAAGGATCCCCCAGGGGGGTTGGCCACACTGCAGTCCCTTCTTCATTCTCCTCTAGGGATTTTGGACACACACACACACACACACACACACACACACACACACGCTCAGTGTATTTTTCAAGCCACTGGGTCCAGGACTCCAGAACTGTGCAGTAGGCCACGTGGGATCCAGCCACCTTAATCATCATGGCACCGGCTGGCTCAATTTCTCTCTTTAAAAAATACTCAAAAATTGTAATGGAAACTATGTGTCATATTCTTCTACCAGCTTTAAAATTTCTGGTGGCATAAAGCGTTAATCCTATATGGCACATAAAGTAAATTCAAATACTGCCTTGGATTACAGTCTGCATTTTCAAATTGAACTGTGAACTCCACCCTGTTCTGCCCTTAGGGTGGCATAAGAACAAGATTGCTGGTTCATTTGTTTGGGCTGACCTTCTGAAAGTTTGCATACTTTTTTTAAAAACTTGTTTTTAAGACAGTAAAATCCTTTCTTCAAATGAACTCCCATGGGGAGGAACAATAAACAAGGCAGATCAAAGAGGAGTTCGCCTAACTCAGTGTCAGCAAATGCTTTCTGTGAAAGACCAGATAGTAAATATTTCAGGCTTTGCAGGCCATATGGTCTTTGTCACGAATAATCAATTCTACTGCGAAAGAAAGCAGTTAGAGACAATATATAAACCAACTAGTGCGGTTACATCCCAATAAGACATTACTTATAGACACCGAAATTCGTACTTCCTATTGCTTTCAGGTCTTACATAGTATCATTTTTTAGTATTTTCCCCAGCTACAGGTAAATGTAAAAGCCATTCTTTTGCTCATTAGCCTTATGAAAATAAAGGGAGGGTAAGGGTGGCCAATCTGGCTCAACAGTCTTTATTTGCTGACTGCTGTTCCAATTAAAGACTCAATTGACACCAGGAGGCATGGCGTTGACAGCTTACTGTTCTCTGGGAAGAAGGGGCCCTGGGGTGGGTGTGGAGGTAAGCTTTTTATTCAGATTGTAATGCCCATTTTACTGCACGCTTAGCTGATGTGCCCTCAGTACTGACCCCAATGTCCTGTCCTTTTCTAGTTTGTCACAGCTCACAAAATAACAAAAGGGAAAATTTTTAGCATACATTTTCCCCCCCTAAACGATAAACAGAAGAGAAACCGTGAATACTTTCTTCTCTTAAGTAGGTTCTGCACAGAGCATACATACACATTTGGATCACCACCATCTGCAACATTTGCTATTTTGTAGCTCACAACAAACTACATTTATCAGTCACCTTGTATCCAGCAGACAATGTCCAACAGTGCCATGTGACTCAGTTAATTTTACCAGTAGATTATTATGCTTTTTCTGGGAGCCAGCAAGGTGGTGTGGTAGTTAAGGCACTGGACTCCCACCAATAGGGCCTACTGTGGTCCAAGTTCTGGACCCAGTGGCTTGCTTTTTCACTTTCTCTCTCTTTCATGTGCCCGGTGGCAAGTTAAAAATAAAATAAAATAAAATAAAATAAATAATACATTTTTAAAAAGCCTTCCCACTAGTTTTTTGGGTTGTTTCACAAGATTCTTGTCAAAGGTGCAACATATCCCTTTGAGCTATGTCATGCCTTGGTAGTTTTGGTTCCTTTTCTATCTTTAATGACAGATTTCAGCACTTTCACCCTAGAAGGCAGTGTCCTACAGTTGTGGAAATCTGGCTTGCCAACAGGATCACTGCTTTGTTTCACGGCTTTAAATAACTAAATACTTGACAAAGTTCCATAGCAGACAACCTTTGAAGATTGGGGGTGAATCTAATGCAGGTTCAAGAAAATGTAATTTCGAGACACCTAACACTATATTTTGTATTTACACATCTTATTTTTTTTGTCTGTTAGTGCAAATCATATCATTTCATAAACCATGAACTGTATAAATGCTAAAGCTCTATTCATTATGTTTATAACAGGTATTCTCAAGCGTGGCATTTACTTCACTCTTTTATTTATTTTTATGCTTCAATCAGTTTTGAGCCAAAAGAAAATTTAAAATTTATGCAACACAAATAAAAATTCCAAACAACGTTTTGTTCACTCGCTAAATGTACTGAATGTCAGCCAAGATGAACTGACCAAGATAGATCTTGTAGCACATGAGTAATTTTTAAGAATGCAAAGGAGATATGTTGTAAAATTACTACTTTATATTAATTCCTTAGAAATGTTTGGTGAGGGGGACCAGCAGTTAGCGTAATGGCTCTGTCCCTGGACTTCCACGTAGTTGACTGCAGTTCGCGTCCCAGACCCGGTGGCTTAAAACTCACGCCGGGCACGTGTGCGTGCGTGCCCAGAATCCCAAGAGAATGGATGAAAAGGTATTGAGGCATGGCAATCCTCCCTGGGGGGTGATTTCTCGCTTTCTATCTCTCTGTTTCTCTGGTGAGCGCATGTGCCCTATAGCAACAACCTCTCCAAAAAAAAGAAATGTTTGGTGAGGGGCCAGCAGGTGGAGCGGTAGATAAGGTGCTGGACTCCCACATGGCCGACCATAGTTCAAGTCCCAGACCCAGTGCTTGAAAATCATGCCAGACATGTGTGTGTATATACCAAAAGTCCCAAGAGGAGAATAGAGAAGGTATTTCGGTGTGGCCATCCACCCAGGGGCATGATTTCTTGACTTCCCTCTCTCTATCTCTCCGCAAATGCACATACCCTATGGCAAAAACCTAAAAAAAGAAAAAGTTTGGTGATAAGGTCACTGTCACTGTTTCTCTGTGTATATGAGTGAGCTACACTGCCACCACCTCAGTAATCCTCCACATTTTTTATTTTTAGAGGTTTTTGCTATAAGGTGCGTGCACTCGCCAGAAAGAGAGAGATAGAGACAGAAAGCGAGAAATCACACCCTCCCCCACACGCATATGCGCCTGGCGTGAGTTTTAAGCCACCAGGTCTAGGACGCAAACCGCAGTCAACTACGTGGGAGTCCAGCGACATAGCCATTCCGTTAACTGCTGGTCCCCTCTTTCATAACATTTTGAAGTTAGTCAGGAGCAGTACTAGCTGTAAGCAGTTTACCTGGGGCAGTGAGTCAGACCCTCGAAGATAGTATCTCCGGTCACTAACCTTAACAATAGGAAG